GTTCACAAAAGACAGTGAGCTGATCCCCGGTGGACGGAACAGTGAGAAGTTGTAACGAACTTCACACGTGCTCCGGTTTAAAGGTAAAGAAAAAGGAGCAAATTGACACCACCTCACACATTGTCACCCTTCACTGGCAACTTCCAGAACATTATTGGGAGTTGGCAGAGCTGGAACAAAACACTAAATAGAAATAAGATAAAGATAGAAACAGCTCAAAAGACGAATTGTCTATAGATTTTTATAGATAGTACACTAAAGTGAAAACCTATTTTTGTTTTACATCTGAAAAAGAGTCCAATTTTTGTATACGTTATTATAGTACTCATTATTTAAATTCTGTAACTGACACAACCATGGAGAAAATAGAGATGATGTCAAGAACAAAGCCAAAGCTATTGTGGGGTCCCCTAGGGATACCAGTCAGAATAGCATTGTTGATTGTGCTCATTACACTTGGCACCTTTCTGGTTGGATGGGGAGTACAATATCAAGTAAGACATGGATCCATTAGTCCACTCATAGAGAATGCCCACATCACTAACAAAACTCCAGCTGTGTTTCAGAGAGTTTCACTTATCCCCAGAGCCAAAAGATCAGCTGAGCAACAAGAGGAGGAGTTAGAAATACTCGGTCCCAAAGGTGAGGCGATTACAATCAAGATGATTCACCCCCCATATATGCAGTTCTTGTATCAAATGATGAGATGGGTTTAAGTGATTGGGATATGTAGGTGATGGGAATTTACAGATTAGGGGAATCTAAAAATACACTGGATCCATGTTTTAGTCTGTGCCAGAAACACCCCTGTTAAGTTTATGGACAACCGACCGGTGACCAGAGCACAATTATTGAAAATGATTAAACAGGCTACTAACCCACAAGTACAGCTTTGTACGTACAAACTCTATGAACAAAATTCCCCAGCAGATTGTGGCGACATTGCAGATATGTTCAGTCACAAAAGTTACTTATGTTCTAAATAACAGTGAGATTTAAAGTAATGGAGAAAATATGGGGACGTTCTTTTATAGTGTGTGAAATATGTGGTGCTTGAAACATGTAGGTATTTTTAATTTCTAGAAGAAAATGGTTTCCTGAAAGAGTTATTTGGAGTAGCCATGTTACAGTGGGTGGAAACAATGTTTAGGGATATGGCACAACCATTAGTAGACATTAATTGGGTTTAGATGACATTTAACATCTAAGACAGATAGTAAGATTAGGAAAATAGAGTGGAAAGGATTGGATATGTTTTACCTCAGTGTGTTAGAATTAGCTATAGGTAATGCCTCCCGAGATCTCTCTCTCTCTCTCTCTCTGCCTGTCAGAATGCTACGACCCCATCTTCAGACAAATGACCTCACCACAGGAGACTCCTCCTCCGGTTTAAAGACAGACAACCCGAGCTGAACCAACAACCACCTGAGGCATCCAGAACCATCTCCACCTGAGGCATCCAGAACCATCTCCACCTGAGGCATCCAGAACCATCTCCACCTGAGGCATCCAGAACCATCTCCACCTGAGGCATCCAGAACCATCTCCACCTGAGGCATCCAGAACCAAACCAGCATGCTGACAAAGAGGCAAACTCTCATCGGTCCCTCAAACAGGACATGAAGTTCCAAACTGAGCCGCGAGATTTGGCACAAGAGCAGAGTGTGGGACATGAGAGCAGAATACACCACTCCATGCAACAGCCAAGAGACTGAAAAGGAGGAGATGAAATGCAAAGCAGTTGGGCCACTGAAAAGAGTTACAGCGGGAAGATCCAAGTGCGGATGGACTGAGGAGAAGACAGGACGGAGGAGAAGACAGAACCAGAGGAGTTGGCATGGGCCAGCAGAACGTGAGGGGGTCGTGGCTTGACGACCAGAGGGGGAGAGAAGGAACACAGGAGTGAGTGAGTTTACACATAAACACACTTATTAGAAAATAATCCTAAAAACACACTGAGGGCAGAACATATTATTCAATCTTTTCATAATATAAACAAATTATTCTTATAGAGATTCTTATTCATGTGAGAATTTGGGGAAGATTTAATTTGTTACAATATATATAGATATAGATAGCAGGCAAATCTTTATTTGAATGGAAAATGTTAAAGGTAGAGCTGGAACCAAGCCAAAGAAAGTATTCCAATCTAGAGTATTGGTTTCTCCATTGTAGCATGGTTGTTACCATAGGAGAACTGTTAAGGTGGAAACAACATTTGTTTGTCGTCCAAGATGTAGAGTTTTAAAAAGACACTAGGCAAAGAGCGATTGAAGATTTAAATTTTGAAAAAACTAGTACAATTGGGAGTAATACATGCAGGGCCTTGGATCACTCATTTTAATGGTGCATATTTTCAACAATAAATATCGTTCAGGGAGAAGGGGTTGCTCAACCCACCCTGCAGATGTTTTAAATCTTACTTACAGCTTCAGAGGGAGCGCACGGCACCAGAGTATGAGTTTTAAAAGACAAGTGCCACCACCTCCTAATGCTCCTCCATTTAATCAGTGATGACCTGACATTTAGAGATGTTATTTAAAAGGAGAAACATATCTGCCATGAGTGAAAATTCCTGAATTGAACTACAAACCATTAATGAAATGACTTCTGTCTTTGAAGTCCTTGTTAAAGCACCCAAGGTTCCACACACTGGGGGGGTTAAAGGGGTGTTAGCAGTGTTATTTAAGTAGACCAGAAATGAAAATAAATTAGTATAATGAGTTATTGATATTCCACCGGTTGTCACACCATTTCAGGGACTTTATCACTGCATTAGAACAGACCACCCCAAAGCCAGTAGGGCTAAGAGACCAGTCCCAGGGGGAGTTTAGGCTCCAGGGTACAAGGATAGCATAGGGGCGACCAGGGGAGGCCTAAATGTAGCACTAATTCCATGTCCTAAAATACCGATTGATCACGACGGCCTCTTCTAGAGAACATATTACTTTCATACCTTAAATGGTATGAAAGGAGGGAGGGTAAATTTCTCATGAGGAGACAGTTACAAATGCTAGTAGAACAAGACGGCCCACCCCAATACAGATGTTGATGAAAATGATGAGTTAGTTTGAATGATGTTAAACGATATGGATGTTCAGAGATGAGGTTGTTCAATGAATGTCCAGCCGATGTGATTCTTTAAATGACGAAATCATGTGAAGTGAGCAAAATAAAATGCTAAAATGGAGTGAATCCATTTCAATGTACTTATACCATATTACAAGATAGTGTATTTTTATTTCAATTTACTCTATACTATTCCAAGATAGTTTATTTCATTTTTATTATTTTTCACTGTTCTATATGGTAGATTTCATGTATTTTCGAATCATTGCTATTCTAAAATGGGTAGTTTCTTTTCACTTTGTAAAAACAAGTGCCTTAACACTGAGCGTGGTATGAGAACGGTTTCTGTGAAAGGAGGGAGGAAGAAATGTTCTAATACCAAGTCATTGCTGCTATTTTGAAGAGCCATATTGAATGTTAACACTAGAAGTTATGCACAAGGGAAAACTTTTATGTTTGAACACAGTCAAAGTATTTTTGTATTTTTGTAAAATTGAGGATATTCGCACTATTCCATTTTGATTGTATGTTTTTGATATGAATGATGTACTATGCAGAGTTCAGATGAAGAACTCATTGATTTCAGTATTATACACACCTTTTAGGTGTGTAAGGAGGGACTGTTAGAAATTAAAATCAATGTTTTGATGGCATAATGTACCTTAAATGTACCTTCAGTTTAAATGCTGTTTTATACTGAAAAAACAGAAAATTATTGAGCACAACCAGTTAAGCTTTTATTCTGAAAATCCTTCATCTCCGGTTAGCATGTGGCTAGTTTACCATTTCTTATAAAGGTTAATTTAGTAGCGAAATGACATGGAGTGATGCACACCGAAACCTACTGATTTTAACACTGCAACTATAGACGTATTATTATTGCTGAATATTAAATGAAGGTATAGTTTATTTGAATAAAGTTATTGTTTACAGACGTGGGTAAGATGTGACAACATCCGGAATGACCAGAAACCAAACCAGCCGTGAAGTATTTTCTGTATTTTTTAGAATATTAACTACAACGTTTAGAATGTGTTAAAGGAAAAGTGATGAAAGACAATATGAGGAGAAGAGGCGTGTTTAAGTATGTATTGAATGTACAATGGCTGAATCCTCTGTTTAAACGTAACAACGGACATTAAGATGTGGAGGGCCGGCCCGCAGGGAGGAGCCTGCAGAAGCTATATAACAGCAGCACCTGAGCGGTTCGGCCTCTTTCTCTGCTAGCGAGGGCCAGAGACAGCTGCTTTTCTGTCGGACGATATCCTGTTTGTGACTGTACCGCGCCTTTTATTAATTAAAGTACCAATTTGAAAACATCTCAGAGACTCCATTTAGTCTCCTTTTTAAGCTTCTCTTTCCTGGACGCGAGAATAACCATCACAGTTAACAGTATCTAGCTACAGATAAATATTAAGCCTGACAAAGCCCTTGTGTTATGTTCACATTTCGCACCCTTTGGTAATGTTCGGGTCAAATTGACCCGGGACATATTTCAGGGTTTTAAAAAATACAGAACTAAATTCAACATGCACAATTCCTTATATATATTGTCTTTAACTAATTCCCCAACAATATAAATGAAATATGATTAGTTTTTGAAAATACTCTTTGCTGGATCAAATGTAACAATGGAAGTGTCCATCGTTTTTTGTGATAACAATTTAAGTTAAAAAAAATACACTAATAAAAACTAGGTTTACATTTTGCTCATGCTTTTCTCGGACAAATGTAAATGAAACATTTTTTCATTAATGTTTATTATTTTTAATCTGTCATATAATAATCAAAGCCCTGAAGGAAATAAAGCCATTTATCAGCAATTGGAACACAAGAACCACACAGCCAAAAGTATTTGGCTGTGAAATATTGTTAGGAACCTTGACCCAATAGCTTGGAGGACTCAAATGCACGACCCAGAGACAAACAGGTTTTTGAAGAAAAAAAATAGTCTTTACTTGCAAAAAAAACAAAATCACTCTTTTAGAGGAATGAACAAACTGACAAACGTAAAGCGCTCTCGTGGAGGGTAAAAGGCAAAACACTGACTTTCATTAAACAATGGCTTAGATCTTACTTCTTGGAGCAATGAACAAGACGAACCGACAACTAACAAGGGGAGACAGGACAATATATACATGAGGTAAGTGGGCACAGGTGGAAACAATCAGGGGCGGGGCAGACACTGATGATGGCGGGAAAAGGAACCAGAGCAGGAAGTAAAGGGACCTGGAATGAGACAAGGTGAGTACAAAATAAAACAGGAAGTGGAACATAAACTAAACTAACATGACAAAACTTAACATAATTAACGGGACACAACAAATATAGAGGGAATGAAACATCCATATAAATGACATAGAACAGATATAAACACAAAGCAAATAAAAACAATTAACAGTCACTATTCATAAAATACAGTATATCCGAAAACTATATTGATGAAGTGACAGAACATCATGTGAGTCAATGGGCAAGTCCGTTTAGGAAACACATGATGTACAGAACTTCTTTGTGTGTATAGCACAGATGTACTTGTTGCAGTTGCTGCATGTAGTCTGTGTCTTGGAGTCCTTTGAGGGTCCACAGACCTCACAGCTGGCTGTGGGGGTCCTTCAGCGGCTAGCCGTGGGGGTCTTCCAGCAGCTGGCTCTGAGTCAAGTTCATCTTCCAATTTGCTGTCAAATTCTGAGTTTACCTCCACATCATCCTCATCTTCAGAAATGTCTTCCTGTTCCACTTCACCGTGTGCCTCTAATGCATCCCACTCACTCTCATCCATTATTAGCTCCAAGGCTCTGAGCAGAATATCTTTTGGCCATTTTGCTGGTAGATAATTGTAGTTCTGCACTACACTGTAATGTGAGGTTATGTCTCTGTTTAGTCCCTCCTCCGGCGTGCAGGTGCGAGGGAGACAGTGCGAGAACATTTAAAATGTTTATACATTTCTGGAAGATCTAAAATGTTTATAATGTTCTAGGATAGTTTTGTGTACACACTACAAAGCGTAAAGATCAAGGGAAAACAGGATCAAACAGCTTCTCTGTGCATACGATTGTGTGTGTGTGTGTGTGTGTGTGTGTGTGTGTGTGTGTGTGTGTGTGTGTCTTTAGTTTGTGTGTTTCTGTGTGTTTTTCTCTGTCTGTCTGTCCTGGTATTGTATCCGGGTCAGATTGACCCGAACCTCTTATGAAGGACATAAATGCGGGTGGGCATTTTTTCATAAGTGGAAAAAAATAAAAACAATTCCACATGTCCTTCACTATAAATAAGCCCCGGCCATTGAGTTTCAGGTTGAACGAAAATATCCTTATATATTTTTGTATTCATTGAGAATGGAAATCGGGTCAATTTGACCCGAACACCACACAAGGGTTAACGTCTAATATATTGCTTTACTGCAATGTCAACTATGTTGAAGCACTTATTTTAACTGATATTATACACATTAATTATACTCTTATGTATGTAGATAGAATAAGAAATGTGCAGAATATGACAGTTTAATGGTGGAGGTACACACATATTGATAGATGTCTTGTAATGCACTGTTGAGGAACCTGTGACCCAAGTTTTTCATTAATTGCATAACTACACCGTAGTTGTGTATGTGATATGTCAATAAACCTTAGAAAATCTTGAAATCTTGAAAGGGATGTGCAAAATAGCCATAATATACAGTTTTTAATTAACTATTAGTAGAGAATAACGAGTAATTAATATACTTTATAGAGATCTGCAGATAAATGTTTAGTCTTCTCAAGCACCAACTATCAAATATCTCCTGATTGTTGACACTTGACAATCACCTTACCTGAATTTTACTCAGGTGTAACTAAAGTCTGCTTTAAGGGTTGTTTATATTTCACATCATTAATCAGAATCTGCAGAGTTACTAAAGTAAATGTAGTGGAGTAAAAATACCAGGTTAACCTCTGAATTGTAGTGGAGTAGAATATTAATGCTGCCCATTATGGATACAAGCGATTTTCACCCATATAGTAATTACATGTTTTAAATGTGTACACACCAATGTGTGCCTCTAACAATCAAATATCTCTCCTGATTGTTGGCACTTGACAATCACCTTCCCTGAATTTGACTCAGGTGTAACTAAAGTCTGCTTTAAGGGTCGTTTATATTACATTACATTACATTGCATGTAGCTAACGCTTTTATCCAAAGTGACTTACAGTAAGTACATTCGACCAGGAAGATACAACCTTGAAGAAAACAGAATCATATAAGTACATCAGGTTTTAGAGCAAAACATTTCAAGTGCTACTCAACTGGCTTTAGATAAGCCAGTCCTTTATTAGTATATAAGTGCTTTGTTAATAGTTCTATCGCTCGAAGTGGAGTCGAAAGAGATGAGTTTTCAGTCTGCGCGGGAAGGTGTGTAAGCTTTCTGCTGTCCTGATTTCAATGGGGAGCTCATTCCACCATCTTGGAGCCAGGATAGCAAACCCACGTGTTTTTGCTGATGGGAACTTGGGTCCCCCTCGCAGTGAGGGTGCAGCGAGCCATTTGGCTGATGCAGAGCGTAGTGCACGCGCTGGGGTGTACGCGCTGCGGTGTACGCGCTGGGGTGTACGCGCTGGGGTGTACGGTTTAACCATGTCCTGGATGTAGGAAGGGCCAGATCCATTCGCAGCATGGTACGCAAGTACCATTGTTTTGAAGTGGATTCTAGCAGTTACTGGAAGCCAGTGAAGGGAGCGGAGGAGCGGAGGAGCGGTGTGGTGTGGGAACATTTTGGAAGGTTGAAGACCAGACGAGCCGCTGCATTCTGGATGAGCTGCAATTTCACATCATTAATCAGAATCTACAAAGTAACTAAAATAAATGTAGTGGAGTAAAAATACACTGAGCTGTCATGTGGGTATATATTAATGCTGCCCATTATGGATAAAAGCGATTTTCACCCATTTAGTACTTACATGTTTTACATGTGTACACACCAATGTGTTTCCTATGGCCTAAACCTCCAGGGCTGTACACAGTTTAATACTGTCAACTTCTAATTTTGGGAAAAACAAAAACGTCTTTTAAAACTACAATTCCCAGTAGAGACGTGGCAAAGAGAACATGTTGCGAAACACAGTAGCCAGCATGTGTAGTTCTGGGGGGCGTTCGAGTCCAGTTTTGAATAGTCTGCCGTGGTTTCGTTCCATTTCAAACAGCTTGGCGTAACCTTGGCGCACTGCCACTCCAACATCCAATCCCAGAGCTTGAAGATTAATCACGGGGTTTGTCAACGGGAATGTAGTCCCAAACGATAGCTGGGGATTATGGGTAGAGTAGTGTCTTCGGCAATCCTAAACTGAATTGTTTTTCGGATATCCTATCGCATTAACAACACCACATCTGGCGTCACAGAGATCTTCTGTTACTGTCCTTTCTTCTTAGAAGAAGTACAGAAACACGTAACTCTGGTTTTGTTTTAATATTTGAGGTGCAATAAACGACACAGCAGCTTTTTGGCATGTTAAAACTATTATTTTCTGCCTCGCTCATGAGAGTAACAGCTGGCGAAATTACAGCCTCGCCTACTGATTTCAAAGGTGTGCTCTAAAATGATATTTATAAATGACTATTATCATTATTATAAGCAAGACAATAAATGGCAAAGATATGTAGAAAATAAACGTCTTTAAGATACGTTCATAACAAACGTAACGTGGGAGAAAATAAGTTTCTAGCTAAACGTAATTGAGAATGCAGTTTAGTTCTGTGGGAACGTAATTTTTAGGAGACAGGGTTGCCATAATACATTCTGACAAAAAATAAAAATTATTATGAATACAAATAAAATAAAAAAAGTAGATTTAAAAACGTTTTATAGAATAAAAGCTCACTGCAGGACGTTGTAGAAATGCGTGTGTGCACCACGACGAAGGAGCCTCATTCACTTTACATTGGGGTTGTTTGCGTGGTGCAGACACGGAAATGTAGCAAAGTTCGTGACTCCACCACGCAATGCGGTGTTAAGGAGTCGTGGTGGAGTCACGCATTCTGGTGAGATCAGGTTCGATCAAGATGGTTTAATAATCTAAAATATGTGTAGATTCTAGGTTTAAATAATCTAGAACATCTCTAGAATCTGTCATTATATTGATATTTTTCATTTATTCCTGTAGATGCTATTGGCACCATAGAAAGCGTTTATTAGGCGACTGGCAGGTTTGGTGATAAAGGTAGATGGTCTGTCAATGTCAAGTGATGCACCTTGAAGGGACCTTATTTTTTCTTCACCGGAGCAAGAGAGAGGCACCATGATGAACACAAATACTCAAAATTAAAATCAAACTAAATGTTAATCTTGCCTGAATGTTTCACTTCTTAACTGCCTGAATACAACCTGAACCGACATGGTGCAGCAGTGGCCTCTAGCTGTACGTTTATTTTAATGACAAAACCTTTTTGACAGATAGTCACGACAACATTTTAGTTTCTATCTTTCATACTTCTACAAATTACCCCATTTTGGGCCTAAAAAAACTTTTAAGTATATAAGTTGCCTTTAGTTATAATCAGGAGCCCAAACAGACTTCGTACTGGCTACCCCTAAATATGTAGTCTTGTGAAGAATGTAATGCAAGCAAGTAAAAGCTGTGTCGCATTTGCAAAATCACCCAGGCTCTTAAAATGCTTGGAATATAAGAAATATTCATTTTGTATTAACTGTTTTGATCTGTTCATTATTAGGAAATATGACAAGCTACATATCCATCTATAAATATCTATTTAGATAAGTTGCAATCATCATTAACAATAAAGTTTATTCACTTACCATTTTGGGCAAGTTTGCTGGCCATAGTTGGTTCTGGAGGGAGGAGCTGGTCTGCTGCTGAGCTGAGGAAGTGAAGTTAGTCTGCAGCAACAGCTCCTTAAATACAGACTGCATGCAGCAAACCACACCCACACACACTGACATCACAGTCTGAAGTTCAGCTACAGTGGGATGATTATTAGATTAAAAAGTATAACATCCTTCCCTTAATAAACAGAAGAAGGGGAAATACAGCCTCATGTCTTCAGATTTGTTTTAATTGAACAGATTATATATATTTTAGATATAAACCCTCAATGCTCTTTACATTTCAACATTCACACCCATTCATAGAGGCAGAGGCTGCCATGCAAGGTGCTCAGGGAGACTAACATTCACACACACTCACACACGTTAGCCATACCAATGTGTGGTTAAGTATCTTGCCAAAGGTCACATGGACATGTAGAGCTACATTTTATTTACAGTTTGAAGCACCTCCAGCAGTCTGCAGCTCTCAAAGTGTTTTAAAGAAACATGGACAGTTAGCTTCAGCATTTGGCATAATAGTGATTTAATCTAATCTGGCTTCATATTATTAAAAGCAACACGAGAATCAACCCGACGCAGTCCACCATCGTTGTGGTTGTGAGCGGCTGGGAACACAACTGGGACTAACAAGGAGAACCAGTTCAGAACCAGAAAAGCACGGAGCTAGAACCAAACTGGTTTGGTGGGAAGGGGCATGGATGTGTTTAAACTTCCATTTCTTTCCCGTTAGGTTTTCACATTCATGTTATATGATTTTATTGCACCTCTTATTCAGGGTCTGATTGACACCCTTACTTTTCCCACCTGCTTGCTTCACTCACCGTAACAACATTTCCCATTAGAATGTATTTTCCTTTCACTTTTAGATAACTGCCCTCAGTTAACCCTGCTCCCTCCTCCCTTCAGCATTTACAAGAAATGCTCTCAGTTCTTCTAAATCCCACAACAAGCCTTGGCAGGGGGGGGGGGGGGGGTGGTAGTGGATCGCCGGAGCTGTATTAGATTAACATTAACATGCTTATTGTAGTGGTAAATGCAATGTCTTGCAGCCTGTAGCACCATCCTTGATGGAGCATATGTGTGGGCTGGACCTGTATTTTACAGGAAAGGAGTGAGCAGAGGTTCGAGTTGTCGATTCTTGTTCTGTTTTATGTGACTATCTGCCTCACCCTCTCAGACTTTCAGTTGCGCACGTTACTAAAGAGACGCGCTACCATGACAACCAAACAATGGTGTAGCTGTATTAAAGTCCGAGTGGAAACAGTCCTGAGTAAATCTGATTTGGTCAGAAATCGGGAGAAATGCGGGAGAAATATGACCGCGGGAGGAAACCGGGAGAGGGCAGTGAAATCGGGAGTCTCCCGCGAAAATCGGGAGGGTTGGCAAGTATGGTGTACGGTGCAAGGGATTCATTTTAAGTTCTGATTCCCATAAGGCTGTTCCCTATGGAGCTCTTCCCAGCTTCAGTCTTCCCCTCCATCACAATCCTGAGCCCCTCGTCATTGTATTTGATATCTGAAATGTCAATGCACAAATGGGATTTATTTTCAGATACTGACACAGAGTCCAGATTAATGCGATTTTAGATGCTACTTTTATCTGACTATTTATAGTTTGACTCCAGCTCCTTCAGCAGCTGTTGTGTGGGACTGATCCACACTGTTACAGCAGCCTGAACTTTGTCAAAGTGTTTTCAAAAGAAACATTGACAGGCTGATTCAGGATACAACTTAATAGTGATTCAACTGACCATGTTCATTTATTTACTGACATTTATTTCCCCTCTAGGCTTTCACGTTCATGTGATATGATTCTATTCAACCTCTTATTCAGGGACTGAAATGATTGACACCCTTAATGTCCTGAATGTATTTTCCGTTCACTTTTAGATAACTACCCTCAGTAAACCCTGCTCCCCCTCCCTTCAGCATTTACAAGAAATGCCCCCTGTTCTTCTAAATGCCACAAAGAAACTGTATTGAATGAAAATCATAAATAATATATGTTTTAAGACTGAGATATACTCAACATATGTAAGGTATCCTTGGGTGTTATGAAAGGCGCCCCCCAAAATAAATGTATTATTATTATTATTTGTGGAGTCAGGTGGTCCGTGAGTGTTTTTTATTGGTCAAGTGGTCCTTGGTATGAAAAAGTTTGAGAAACACTGCGCTAATGGATTGTCAAAGGGGGAGCCTCATTGCGGGGAAATTATACAGATGGCTAGTCCGCCCCTGAAGAATGTCTCTGCACACGTTATTATTAATAATAATTACAAAAAAATTGATATTTTTTATTTTCAATTTTGTAATCATCTCGCGACCCCCACTCGGGGTCTCACCCCCACTTTGGGAACCCCTGCACTAACCCCATTTTAAGGCCAATGTGCTGCATTCACACACAAACAAATTAAAGATCAATTTATATGAACACAATTATAAACTGACGAAATATTTCAACCAAATAAGAAGGGAAATGAAAGTAGACTGAAGACTAATAATAGTTTTCAAATAAGTCCTTGATCATCATATTACTGATGAAAACAATGCAAAATATGAATGCACAAATATTAAAAAAGACACCTGTGTCCCCGATAGATAAAGGATATAAAACATGCTGATCCTGACCTACCGTCTTTGTTAATAAAGCCTCCCATTATTGGATTGTAGAGAGCAGAGGTGCTGGTTTACAGTGAGGTAAAGACTGAGAGTTAAGAGACTGTTTGAAACAATTCCTTTTGTATGAGCTGCATGCAGCAAACCACACCCAATGCAGACTGGGTGTGTACGTGTTATTTTACAGGCTGTTTATCCATTGAGACTAAATTAAAAAGGTTCAGCAAACTCTGTCTTTGAGTGATGTTTTTTTAATTTGTTTTAAATGCAGTGCTGTCTTTATATGTACAAGATAAATTACATGTTTTGATGAATGTAGTCTTCAGTGTTTCTAGTCATGTCAAGTCTTTTTTATTCATACATCCATACTTTGAAAATCACAAACTCTACAACAAAAAGAAACATTTTCATTCTTAGACCCTAAATTGTTATGAGTAAAAACTGCCCAAAAAACCTTAAATGGTGAAATAAATGTTTATAAACGTTGATGTGTTTACAGAAAGACCAACGATGCAAAATGACAGTATGGACAATCAGGATGACAAAGTTAAACATAGCAAACACTAAGAACTTCTCTACAAGTTGATATGTCGCTTTATTCAAAATGGTTTTATGTAACCTACAACAGATCTACACAGCCTACACATAACACACAAGAACATTATTATTTTCGGATAGACATACCTACATAAAGTAGCATCAAAATGTAGCCGTTGCATTTATTCTGCATTTCACTTTACAATCTTTTACTTGTCGTGTTTTTTCTCAGCTCTTCAATGGTCATTGGAATTTGTTGATTCACGCCCTTTATTGTTCTGTTTTTAGCACAGCTTGAATATCCAGTCCACCTGCATGTTCAGTGTTCATTTATGGCGCATTTCCACTGCAACGGGGTAGCCCCGTTTAAGCGTCCCTAACGGCCCGTCTACACTACAGGCATCGAAAAAGCTTGAAGCTGGGCGTGTCTGAGGCTTGGCGATTTCTCGCGCCCAAGGCGACCAACAACCAATCACATGAATCTCCCGCCCCCGACATACAAAGCAATAGCAATGTTAAAACGAAGTAAACTGGATATAAAATCCCCAAACAGGCGAAAACCTACCAGTTTCACCCACTGTCTCTGCCACCTCCCTCCATGCCTGGTTCCTCTGGTTTGTATCCCGGTAAATAGTTCTGGTCGGAAAGAACCGGGTGATTTGCTACCGTAATTTCTCGTTTGGAATATGAGGAAATAAACTGCGGTCTGGCTCTCCCTGCTTGCACGCGGTTTGATTGGCTAGCGCTTGTACTGGCGGGAATTGCAAAAACGGGATTTGATTGGCTGACGCCAGCTTCGAGCAAGCATCGAGCCTCAAAAGTTGAACATTGTTCAACTTTTGACGCCGATTGACGCTTGCCATGCTTGCAACGCCTTGCCATGCTACCCACAATGCAGTTCGGCGAAGTTTGAAAATATCCTACGTCACCCCATTCAAATGAATGGGCGAAGCGTTGAAAGCATTTTTTGACGCCTGTAGTGTAGACGGGCCGTAAGCGTCCTCGCTCAGGCCTCGGGCTGCCTCGCTGGCCGTCCGAGGCCGTGGCACATTTCCATTACAGTTTAGGACCTGGGGTAGCAACGCAGTGTAGGCGGGGCGATCGGCTTCACATTTCGAGTTGTTCCGTCGAGCTCCTGCTGGATTTGATCATCCCCAATGAGATGTAGGAACGTCGTCACCTCCTCGGTCGACCACGGTGTGCTTTTCTTATTAGACGTAGCCATTTTTGTAGCTCCTCCGTTTACAAAATGCTGTTTATAAAAATGCTGCAAGCTTGCTTCTAGATATATATGCGACGCTAGGGATGAACTCGCGCGCGATCTTGTGACGATTCTCTCTGACCAATCAGCAGTCGAGAGTGTTGACGTCACTAGTTCAGCCCTGGCCCTGGTCTGAGGGAACCACGATTTTATGGGGCCGGAAAAAGAGGGAAAAAGTACCCGCTAGCCGGTACTAGGCTATATGGAAACGCCACCAAAAACTGGCCTGGCCGCTTGAGGACGGTTAAGGACGCTTAAACGGGGCTACCCGCTGCAGTGGAAATGCGCCATTAGAGAACTATAAACAGCAAACCCAGTTCACCCTCTCATCAGCATTTACAAGAAAGGCCACCTGTTCTTTTAAAAGCCACCAATATAAAATGCATGTGCAGAGTCCAGCTAGCTCTTTGGATTTTTGCTCTTAGTTTATGTTCATGACATGATGGCAAATGTGCATGTGTACATATTATTCTGCACTTTTACGAGATTGTAAACCATCAAAACTGAACCAAATGTTTATTTAAGAAAACACTTGTTTCACCACTTTCACAATAAATTCAAAAAACTGTTTGAAAATTGAAGTGCTTCTCTCAGCTTCGTTTCTAGCGATTCTTTCCTGCATCTCTTCCAGTTGTTTCCTTGCCCCCTGCTTTTCTTTTTCCTGAGTTGCTATAATCCTGTTGAACTTCTCCCTGTCTGCCTTTGCTTCCCGGAGTTGTTGCTC